CATTGAGCTTCACTTTGAAATTTAAGATAATCAATACAAGTTTTTTTGCATAACTGCTTGGAGTTTACTTTGACTTTACTTTTACTCTTACAGATATCAGTCAGAAGGCCATCCATCATTCTGTCCGGCTGACAATGAGCTCAAACGACTAATGCCTCTAATCTCACCCCTTTTTCTATGTTTTTAGCAGGCAACGTTACCCGATTGACGTTGGATTAACTTTATAACAAACTTGATTTTAAAATCCATGAAGATTCTGGCGCTAACCCCTACCACTGTCCCCGAGCGCCAATTATCCCTCATTTCGAACCTCGGGGAAAATTACGTTTTTTCTGAATAAAGCTCTTCCCTTCGAAATATTTGGTGTGCCAACGTCGGTAGCACCACCTTCTTTTTCGCTCGTTCATGCTCACAAATTATCACTTAAGCTGTGTAATAATTGCGATTACTAGAGAGCTGTCAAAGTGCACGACAGAAAAAAAATTGCTGCTGCAAAGCCAAAGATGTTTGTCAGGATTCGATTACAAAACAGGGAAAAACAACCGATATAAATTTCAGTCAGCAAATTGCGATGGTAATTCCGAGCACTCGGAAGGGCCACAACAACAACAACGCATTACAGCCTAATCATCACAATGACGAGGTAATTCAATCCAGATTTAATTTTCAATTTTCCGAAGTTTCATTTTTTTCAAATCCCGCTTATTTAACTTTTCTTTGAGTATTTTTACTTTGTTGGATTTCAACACTTCCCTGGGCGCTGTCTTTTTTGAAATAAGGCATTTGAGGAGCTCCTTGTGAAACACGGGATTACTGTAACGCGGAACCCCTTTTTCCCAGAGAAGGTGGTCTACCAATTCCGGATTCCCTCCCATCATTGCACTTGCCGCTCAAAAATCATCATCTCTTTCAAGCAGCCCCAAGGAGCCTAATAAATGCCCCCATACTGGGTGCACAGCTCCTTTAGCTATTCTGGTTGTACTTGAAAGTTCTTCACTCGCATGATTCACTATTTCCCGATTTGTTCCAGTTTCTTTGCTAATAGCAATTTTGCCTGGGAAAAAATTCAACGGTATTTAGCGGTAACTAATTGATGCTGCTCGTATTCCTTTCAATACTATCTAGTATGAAAGTACCAGAGCTCTCACTTTTACAACGCTCGGAGCAGTTCGGCCAGGGCACGTCCTGCCGCTGGGGAATAATTTCGGTAAAGAAAACAGGGCACACCATTGGTTGGGGATTTTGGTCGACTCCGTAGTGCCCTCCTTTTTTAAGGGGTTAGTACGACCCCCTGGTTCCCTCCTCTGATACGCCCCGCCCCCCTCCACATCCTACCTATCCTTTTCCTTCATTTTCTCATTTTCTTACCACTTTTTTCCCCCAGAGTTTTGCTGTGAGCCGGAGGAGTATATAGCACATGCGAAACGGGAAAAACCAAGAAAAGCCAACAATCCATGGAACCAACGCCGCAAATTTACAGTCACCGAATCGGCGACGAGAAGTGGGAGGTGGGGGGGACATTATGCACTTCCACTGCTTAACGTTCTCATGTCGAGCCATAAAGTAAAAGTTGGTGAAGCCTTGCGAAAACATAAAGTAACACTAGCCAAAGTTTGTGGAACTACTCGTATATAGTACCTGTCAACTCCTGCAAAGCAATGAACGCGACAACTGGATGCAACGAAAGTGCAAAATGCAAGCCCCCCCCCCGTCGCGAACTGCGCCCAACGTACTACTTCCTTAAAATCGTAAATCACTTGCTTCTGCAGCCTTCCTTTCCTAGACGTTCCAATTCGCTCCTCAAAAAGTTGTGTCAGTTGATTTTTCGTTCTACCGTATTTCACATTGTATTGAAATCCTCTACTACAAATTGTTACGTCACTTGAACTATGTGAATTATATTGAAAGTTTACGAAGACAATTTCCTTTACTCTTAGTAAAAAGTTGTACTTGTGAGTGTTGACAAAGGATTTCGTGAGAATTTTCGATAGGAAAGACTAGCCTTAACATTCAGGTGTCACATCATCACGTTTATGCATTCGAGCATAAATCAGAGAATGGATGTCCTCGAGCTGAACTAGTATCTGGTGAGGGATTTCTATGTATCACGGTCGTTTTTTCACACAAAAGTACATATCAAGTTGAAATATTGCCTGAGCATTAGTACATGAAGTCAACAATGTTGCGATGGCAAATGTTCATGTTTCTTGCCCCTTCGGGGTTTCTCATGAATATTGATTCATGAGGGGTTTTAATCTTGTTCATTTTTTTCTGCCATTACAGGTTAATCAAGTAATATATTGATTGGACGTCATTCAACAAATAGCCTTGGAAGGTGGATAAATTTGCAGGGACTGCATTTAAATGATCTCTATGGTGATGAGCTAATGAGCATTGACGTCACAGAGCTCATTTGATGATTAGAAAATGTTGAGCTCCTTATGCAGAGTTTATCCCGTGTAGAAAAAAGCCGCCCTATCACAAGTGATTTCACTGGCGCGATTCGCGGAAAGAGGTGGGGGAGCATTTTGCACATTCACTGCTTCCCATTTAATACTAGTTGTCAACCCTTGTAAAAAAATACCCTTCAACGATTACGTTGAATGTCTGAGCGCTCGAGTACTGGCACAAAGTAGCCATTGAGATGAAAGAGTAAGAGTGGCCCCGGTAGCATAATAGGGAACGCAACCGCACGGAAATTAAGATTCGGTTCGGATCTAGCGCGTGTTCTGAGTTTTACCCGCAACTCAGCACGCTTGCGGTAACTTTCCGATCGCGCACTGCGGCGTTAAACTGCACTTATTAAACAATAACACCTTTGAAACTTTCAACTCTACCATTCAACTCTTGTGAGCAATAAACACGGCAACGGGAAGCAGCAAAGGTGGGAATGCCCCCTCCGTCGCCGAATTCCGCCACTTTCGCTTCCATAATCGAAAGAAACTCAAAAATAAAGCAATATAGAATATTTTTCACTTTTTTTGAGTAAGGCTAGGACGTTGACACTCGTTCACCTTTTGTCCCTCTTGAAGAGGACGGTAGCTTATCTCTTATTTCTTTTGTATTAGAGCACATCATTATGTTCGTATTAGAAGTTCCTGGTGAAAATGAGCTTTCGAAAATCTACATATCAATAATTCTTGAAAAGTTGAGAGGTCCCGATTATTTGTAATTGATCAAAGCCAAGCGGTAGCAAGGAAAACAGGGGAAAACGAGTGATGCTAGCTTTGAAATGGGGGTATTCCACTGCTTCCCTAGTTTTTTTCAGAATCCTCGCCTTTCCAAGATTAACGTCCATCGCCTACCTCCAGTTTTGTACTTTCGGAAGGACTTAAGGTGTCCATTCACAGGAACTAGTAATGTGCCCTACCCCTGAGGCGAACAGCGCTAGGAAACGTGTTTCCCGTGCTTTAGTGCGTAATATTACAAAAGGTGACTGGTACATGGAATAATTCAAAGAATGCTATCCTTGTCCCATCTCATCCGTCATTACCTGCCATTCACACCAATCTGAAAAGCTGTCAATGGTGTAGAGCGTGGGGAGAAGGGGGGGGGGGGAGTGGTGTAGCGAGGGATTAGTTCCGCATCATGGGAGGAACAGACTTTCCATGGTGGAGATAAGGCCTCTTATAAACTCTTTGAGTGAATTTTTCAGAACTCCTTTGATATTGTTCATATAAAAGAGCAAGTGTGTAGAGAAGACGTGCTTTGAAATCTCAAAAAACCCAGTACTTTTGTTTTCGGTATGCCCAATCACATTTCTTTGAGAACGTGTCTATTCAGGGAAAACCATGTAGATGAGAAAAATCTCGCGTCAGTACGCCCCCCCCCTCCTCACTACATCCGTTAAGCGGAGGAGTTTGGTTGGGGGACGAGAGGGGGTTGAGGAATAATCATCATTGTAATAATAAAACTGCAACATCACCGAATAATAAGAATTTACAGTTCGCCTAGAGAGGGATAAATCAACAACAGAAAAGCCATTGAATGAGCCCATTGACTCCTAGGTACCAAATCAGATCACGTCTTACGTTGAGGAAACCAGAGCAGGGAGTGAGGGGTGCTATTAGCGGAGGAGCGAGGTCGTACCTGGTTTGAGAAAATTGTTTTTGAGAGTTGATTTTTCTTGTTTCACGGACGCTCAGAGGTGGCGAAGGTTGTATTTGATTGCTGGAGCAGAGGATGGTCATTTCTGGGGGTAAGTCTCTCTTCTTGCTTTGAGGAAGCTGTTTCCGGTTATAGACTTTTTAGTGGTTTTTCCCGTTTCACATGTGCTATTCCCCCCTCCCCGCCTTTGACAGCAAAACTTTGGGGAAAGATCAAAAAGTTTCGGGAAACTCCGAAAAAAACTGGTGGGGAGTTGGGAAAATCTAGGAAAGTGGAAGGTAGGATGGGAGGGGGAAGTCGTACTTGCTGAAAATTTTCCCCAGCAGTAGGACGTGCCTTTCCTTAACTGCGAATTCCACAAATGTGATGAGTACTGCGAATATCAAAAACAACATACTTACATGGAATTACTATTCAGTAAATGCACACATGTGCAGCAGTAATATCTGCTTGATCTGGCATGTCGTTTCGAATCCGAATGGACCAGCCTGTTCTCCGAGACCGATGAAGAGAAATTGGTGACGTTCGCCCAGATGGATCACGAGAAACGAGTGCGGTCGTGTGACGCATACATCGTTGTGAGCGCATATTCGTTCCGGAAATCTGAAATTTTTTCCTGCATCCACACTCCTCCATATTCGGAGCTGGGACGGGCCCGCGTACTTCATCAGACCAGGGATTGGAGCGCTTTTCAGGTGCGATATTTTCATTTGGGACAACGGTGATGGATAAAGTCTGGTTTAGGGTTGTCAAAGACGAATATTCCACCAGAAAGGCGCAGCCACCGCCATGTCTAGGTGAAGTACGCGGCACGCTCCCCATCTCCAGGACATGGATCGCACATAGAATATATTTACAAAACATTTTTGACAAGGATTATTGAGGGTTTCAGGATGCTGAAGAAGTACTATTTCGAGCGATCATCGGCTTTATTTGATGCTGTTTTCAAATATTATGCAACAGGCCAATTACATCGGCCGTTGGACGTTTGCCCACAGGAATTCGCTAATGAACTTTCATACTGGAATATTCTGAATCTGTTATGTCCAGTTGTTGTTTGGCGTGGCTATAATCAGCTGTAAGTTTACTGAACACACGTTTTCTTTTTGTTTAGGAAGTCGTTTTTTTGCAAAATCGATATTGATTACCAAATAGGAAACTTGATTCATAAGTGCTTAACGTAAGAAGTTCCTTTCATGTTGGGAGATAGGTTCCTGCATTTGTTTTTTAAACTTGTTTTCAATTAACTCCTAAACTGATGTTACTGGGGAGCGTTTTCTGTCATTAAGGAAGTAGGCTCGCCGTCTAAGATGTATGTGGGAGAGGGATTTTTTCTGTATTACAGGAGTAGACTCGCCCGCGTCCTAAGATGTACTGTGGGAAGCGTTTTTATGTTTCAGGGTAGCTGAGATTTTCCATAATGAAGCTTCAGGTTGATTTCTTTCCGAAAGCGAATTTTCGCAGGACGGAAAATAGTTTGACGTGCTCAGCTAAGAAGCGCTCAAAAGCCACGTATGCTCGGTCGACATTTGCACGTTGTATTGCAAAATTTATCCTTGTGAGAGGGGTTTAGGATATAGCTTGCCCAAGCTCGAAAGGCAGTGAGTACGATTGGCAGGCGAGCGGTTATTGCCAACGTCATTGGTGGAAGGGGTAGGAGGGTGTTCACCCCCGCCTCAGTCCTCTTCCACTAATGACGCTGGCGATAAGCGCCTGCCCACAGCGAACGCAGTCACTGCTTTCAAGAAAACGTCCCTTCTGAAAGGATTATGATGGGATCTGATGCTCCTAAGAGAGTGAAAAAAAAACTCCAAATCCCCCAGCAAAAGAGGAAGAACAACTGGAAAGACTTTTCAGACACATTCAGATGGTCCCGCTGTACTGAAGCGCGCTACCTTACACCGCAAAGATACTCGAGGTCGCCTCTAGCGAGCTCAGCTGAAATGTTCTCACCACACTTTTCCGGTAGCGCAGCGGCTTGGAGGGGCATCCCATTGGACTCAGTGAATCTTGGACACGCCGCATTGTTAAGACCCGTAAATCCCAGAGGCCAAAGTAGCTACTAGCACCATCTCACAGGCTTCACAGAAGTTTACACGTCTTACCAAAGCGAGACCTAACGTGCAAAATGCCCCTTCTCCTTCCCCAAGCTGAACGGCACCCTTACCGCCACTGGAGCACCACCCTATTCGCTCTCAGCTGGCCCACGAGAGTGGTGTTATCTTCATCAAGGGCAAGAGCGCTGGCTCAGCGTTTGGCTGAATCGAGAGCGCAGGCCATGAACAGTGACGGCGAACACATAGCGCACCAATTCTTTGTCATATTTGCCAAAGATTCTTCAATGAAGCAGAAACGGCGGGAACTTATACCTCAACTTCATATTCTATAGGGTTAAGGCCATCTGATGATAAAATTAGAGAACTTAGGAATGTAAGCATTCAGAGAAGGACTTTTGGAATCGCGGACATCAAAGTAAGTACGCGTGTGAACCCTATCCTTATATATCAATAACTCTTATATGTTTTACTGTATATGTAGATCGTTTTTGATCTGTTATCATTTGCCCCCAATGTTGTGTGTGCTGAAGAAGTAGCACGTCGTATACCTGTAGCATGTACAGTATGGTTATTGATTGAGTTCAAATTTGAATTATTCAGGAGCGCTTCAATCGAGGAGCTAACCCATAAGAAGAACAAAGTACTTGAAATGAATGATAGCTCATTACGAAGTCGGATACATCATTTCTGTGAAGGAGATGGATCATTACTATCGACACTATTTACCTTTGGCAGCATATCCTTTGTATTGATCTCTGTTATTGGCCTTATTTTGGGATCGATTCACGAATTTCAGGTAATTCGCAAGTATTTCCTGAAACACTTTCAGCGCTGCTTAATGGATTCCCTGCGTTTAGAGGCAACGGGCACAGTGGCCAGGGGCGGGCGGTTGCTGCCAACGTCATTGGTGGGAGAGCTGAGTGAGGCGTGGCTAAAGCTCTCTCGCAGCCCTTCCTCCAGTGACATTGGCAGCAACCGTCCGCCCACAGCCGCCGTGTCCACAGCGCCTGACCTGATTGCAACAATGTGGAATTCGAAATCCGTTGATCTGAAAAAAACGCGGATGTTTCAACATTAAAACATGCAATTCTGAGGGGCATTGCGCCTTTCAGCCAAAAATCGATTGTTTATCGATTATCGACTTATTTTTCAGTTGTCGGGCCCACTGTGATTAAAACATGCATAAAATGGAGATAATGCGCTGCATAGAGCTCTTGCAGCTCGCGCAGATTGAACCCGTTAAACATTACCTAACCAGTTACCCATCATCTATCAGGCCTAGGTTCACCAGGGTTTTTTCCGTACTTCTCAAGGAGAGCGGATTGCGGATATCTATTGTTGAGCATCCGCTAGCCCCAGTTATTTATTATAAATCATTACATGTACCGAAGGATTATTTAAGGGCCTATGGAGGTTTTAATTCTACCTACCTTTCACGGCCGTAGTTAGTGTGGGGTAAGTGGCGCCGCCACATTCACTGTGCAGCGATCGAATTTCGGTCGGCTTCCGTCCATCCCAGCGAAACCGTGCATCATTACGTGTCGGATGGGTACCAGTCATGTATAGGACGTCTGTCTTTTACATCAGCTGACCTTTGCCAGAACTGGATGTGCCAAACGGCATTCAAAGCGCCGTTACGACTTCGGATGGTTTTAGAATGCGTAGCGTATAACAAAAAGGAATGATCAGCGCCGCAAGAAATACGCGCTATCCCTCCTATGAGTTTATCCGAGATGGAGCCACTCACTGGAAAATTGGCTGAGTTCTTGAGTATAAGTGCAGATCCACCATAAAACTATCCATTACCTATACGATTCAAACCACATTCCAAAAGCATAGCTTATCAAAGGGTGATAGAAACCGACAGTCTTACCCTTCATCCCTAATTGGAAGTCCATAACTGCTAAGCTCTTCAACTTTTGAATTCTCCGACGAGTCTGGAAAAGAGTTGCGGAACATTTTGGAGTTCTGCGAATTTTCGCAATCTAATTCGGTTTTTGACCAAGAAACTTCATTCAGGACGCCAAAATAGATTCACCTCGTCAACGGCAATACTACATTTCCTTCGCACGTAGTCGGCTTCTCAGCGTAGTAGATAAGGGTGGCAAGCGTCACGAAATTGACGACCAGAAACCTCAGAACTACTCATATTACTGCTCACGTGACAACAAACCGACGAAGGATCGTTGGCTTTTGCGCTTCCGCTCACTCAACGTCTCAGACTAATTGCAAACCAGCAATTATATCCTAACATGATCGACATGATGCTGGGTGTTTAAACAACAAGGAACTAGGCCATTTTTGCCGTTCCTTGACCCAAAATCGTCAGGGCCATCATGACTCAGTACGTCATTAAACGGGGGCCATAGACAACAAGGTTCTATGGCGTGTAACACACGCTTTCTTCAGGCGGATCAAGTGTCTTCACATCACCGGTGGCATGAAAGGCGATTCAAAGCTTTCCTGAAGGGGTTTGTGGACAATGTTCGTTGAGATTTTGTTCACTTGGCTCCCGGAACGAATTCAGAGTGGCATGCCACGAATTGGAAGACAGGGGGGAGGTGTGCGGGGGCGACCTCTCGACCATTGTAACTCATGCGCTAAAGTTTCATAGCGGCGAGAGAATGAGACCCTACGCCAGTCGGTCCGCTGAGTTCCTGGTTTGAGTAGAGCTGATTTGCGGGTTTTGTACTATTGCAACAGTGGAATACAAAGTTCTCTAGACTTTCTGACGGCCAGATGTCAAACGTTCAGGCAGACGTAAAGGCGGATTCCGAGCTTATCAAAAGGGCGGAGCCAGTCTAGCCGCTCTTTGCGCTGCATTTCTTTGTCAATTCAGAAAAGTGAGCCCCGTGATGATGGGCATATGGTGACACAGGGCACTTTTCCCTTGCAACACGTTTGAATGTGTCATGGTGTAGAAAACATAGTGGATAATATGACAGAAAGGCATAAAATGAGTGAAACACTCGTAGTATTGTTCGCTGCGGATGACGGGGCGTGTCAGTGAGGCTGGCGTTGGCGCGCCGCCAGCCCGTTCTCAGCCAGTTCTTGAACAGGGTCGGCGACAACAAGTGGTGGAAAATGGCTGATGGGAGGGGGAGGGAGGGGGGGGGGAGGGGGATGAGCATTGTCACCCGTCGAAAGAGAGAAAAAAAAGAAACAGTTTGGCGCGGCGCCAAATCTGACACGCCTCGTCATCCGCACTGAAGTGGAACAATATAAACAGATTTAGTTTTCGTAGAGAGATATTTTTGCTGATCTTTACGGCACGATCAAATTCTCCCTCTGAACGGAAGTCTTTTGGATGTAGCTTGCGAATAAAGCCCTAAACACCATTGTGACAAGGGCACCAATTTTTGTACTCGTCCTTGTTTTGCTGCACCTCAAAGTTGGTGGGATGTCTTCTCAACACCACCCGACTTACCGATTCCAGCAGTGGTATTTTTTGAGGAATTCCTTAATGGGTGCACTGGAATGAGGCCAAAGCAAGTTCACCTCCGTGGACTACTACATTTGAACTCACTGCTTCTTCACATATACACTGGTCACCTCAAAAAAACTAATATACTGATAGGACTCGTGAACCACTAAGAAGTGGACAGAACTTTCAACTACGATGCCAACCGCAGTGCAACTCCACTGCACTATTCAGACAGTCTAAAGGAATATTTTTTTATTTCAGGTTCCGATTCTCAAGCATGGAAAAGTATCTCAACGCATCAACAACTTAAGTGAAGGTACTTCCTCGAATAGTTTTAAATTTGCTGTCGCTAATTAGCTTACAACTAATTGTCATTACTGACTACAATTGAGCAATTGAAAAAACTTCTTTTGAAAGGCTGCTTTCAATCATGGAAAAATTGTAAGCTGTGTGGAAGTATATTTCGTTTCCGATTATATTATGAGTTTGGTATAGCAGGATGGCCTACAGTACTTCAGAACTGTGCGTAAAACAAAAGGTTTTTGTCACGTGAACGCCGACGTCTTTTCGCGCCCACGCCGCACTGTCGCCACGGCCTGGCTGTGGTTGGAGAGCGCCCACCCTGATGGTTTCTTCCCCTCTTAGGAGTGCGTTCATACTTTGCACCAGCTTTTTAGCCTACGACAGCGCTTTGAGCGTTCAGGCAACTACGGAACTGTAGGTCGCGATTCAGCGTTTTGAGCGTGTTTAGCGATTACGAAACTATAGGCATCGATGTGCGCCGGTGTTCGCTGACGTACTCTCGAAACGCTAGATCAATACCTATACTTTCCTAGTCACTCGAACGCTGCCGTAAGCTCGAATGCTGATGCAAAGCATGAACACACTCTAAGAATACGGTCGATGAAACGTACATCATCAAGGTAGTGCCGCAGGCGGCACAAAACAGGCCTATAGACATACCTCAAACTAGGATTATTCAATCGGACGCGCAGGGATGATGGCAACCTGATTGTGCGCTTCCGCGGGATCGAGGCATTTAGTTTTACGCACGGCCTACTGTATACCCTTTGTTATCCCGAACTTATAATCTTGTCTGTTTTCGTGAGGGTTAAGTGGCCGCTGCCGCTTGATTGATGTGGATTTTCTTCTACAGTACGTACTGTCTGAGATAATGTGTCGATTGAACTGATTTTCTTCTCTTCCTCTTCGAACGTGAGGAAAATAGGTCTTGCTTAAAGTAGGTCTACTCTATGCAGTGATAGTGTCACAAGCCAAGTCGCTTCCGCAACAGTACCTACAAAAGGCGTTGTGTGCCTACTCTAGCGCTACGCATCTTGCGATTGTTTTGCTTCTTAGCCTTATCTCTCATTAGCTGCGTTCATACTCTGCGGCAGCTTCCACCAGCGCTCCAAGCGTGCGGCAGCGTCAGCAACTGGAAGTATAGCCATGCGTTTGCCAGCGTCTACCAGCGTCCGCCAGCGTCTATCAGCGTCAGCGACCAACAGCGGACTGCCAGTAGAGAGTATGGTGAGATACACTCGTACCAGCTGTTTGCTACCTTCCTATCGCGCCATGCTCTCATCTCCCGGACGCTGATAAACGCTGGTGCACGCTGCCAGACCGGACGCTAGATCTATAGTTATACTTCCATAGCTCTTGAGACGCTGAACTGACGCTTGATCTACATTCATATTTTCTTAGTCGCTGGCGCTGCCGGTCACTCGGAACGCTGGTGGACACTGAAAGTATGAACGCAGCCTTATTTCACCCATCCGGTTATCATATTCAAGTTTTGTTCTTAGGTCAATTTCGCGCTCTTATTAACCCTTCGAATAGACCTTTGCCTCGATCTGGATTCGAATCTAAAACTCATGCTACCCGGGTGAACATTTTACCATATTTTCCTTTGAATGGAATCTAAGACGCATGGTTTGTGATATACCTGACCTAACTACTTGGAAGTAGAAGTATGGTTCTGTATAAGTCAGCAACGATCTAAACCCTTGTTGCATTGCAATAGGCTCTTTACCTATGTTGTGTACGTTTTATTTTGCATTACTGTCGTTTTTCTGGAAAAAACTTGCCGTACGCTACTCGCAGCGATTTATCATGTACTGAAACTAGTAATGTGATATGAAGAAAGCAGTACCTTACAATCTCGTTCGCTGCGGATGATGGGCATGTTAGGGAGATGGGCTTAACCCGTGTCTTTTCTCTTTTTTTTCTTCTCGGTCGAGCGTAAATATTGTATCATACTATTTGTAACAGCCGTTGCCCACCAGTTGCTCTCGGTTACCCCCTTCAACAACTGATGGAGAACAGGCCGGCGATGTGCCTAACCTGGCCTACCGGACATGCCCCATCATCCGCAGCGGACAGGACTATAAATGTATGAGCTTTTACTCGGAGCGATAAGGTTGCGTTCATACTTTACGGCAGCGTCCACCAGCGCCTACCAGCGTCCACCAGCATCTGCCAGCGTCTGCGAGCGTCTAGCAGCGACTGGGAGTAGAGAGTATGGATAAGTAGGAGGTTAGGAGCGTATAGCTTGCTAAGGCACAAAATTATGCAATTTCAATGGATAGCGTAGTGTAGTTGTACAGCTATCCCTGTCGCTGATGGACGCTGGTAGACGCTTGCAGGCGCTGGATCGATACCCATACCTCCCCAAGCTCTCAAGACGCTGACAGACGCTGGCAGACGCTGGCACACGCTAGTTCGACATATGCACTTTCCGAACTACTGACG